TGGTATAGTCGTATTGAGGCTTACTTTCTAAAAGTTGGTTTTCTGAAATGTCCATATGAACACCCTCTTTTTGTTAAAACTGGAGAATCTGGAAAAATACTCATTGTGTGTTTATATGTCGATGATCTTATATTTACTGGGAATGATAGTATCATGTTTGCCGATTTCAAGAAGTCTATGATGGATGAGTTTGAAATGTCCGATCTTGGTAAGATGCATTACTTTCTTGGATTAGAAGTAGTACAATCTGATGATGGAATATTTGTTTCCCAAGAGAAGTATGTACGAGAAATTTTGGACAGGTTCAAGATGCAGAATTGCAATCCCGCCAACACTCCAGTTGAGTTTGGCTTGAAGCTATGCAAAGTTGGAAGCAGAAAGAAGGTGGACAGCATATTCTACAAGCAAATTGTAGGTAGTTTGATGTATCTTACTGCTACAAGGCCCGACATCATGTATGCTGTAAGTCTCATAAGCAGATACATGGCGAGCCCAACTGAAATTCACCTGCTAGCTGCTAAGAGAATCCTTCGCTACTTACAGGGAACTAAGGATTTTGTTTTGTTCTACAAGAAGGGTGAAAAATCTGATTTGATTGGTTTTACTGACAGTGATTATGCAGGAGATCAAGACGACAGAAGGAGCACTTCAGGTTATGTTTTGATGTTAGGTACGGGGGCTGTTTCGTGATCTTCTAAGAAGCAATCAATTGTCACTTTGTCAAGTACCGAAGCTGAATTTGTTGCTGCTACAACTTGTGCTTGTCAAGCTGTTTGGTTAAGGAGAATTCTTGAAGAACTGAAATTCAAACAAGAAAAACCAGCTACAATTTTCTGTGACAACAACTCTGCCATCAAGTTGTCAAAGAATCCAGTGCTACATGGAAGAAGCAAACACATTGACATGAAGTACTATTTCTTGCGAGATCTCAACAATGAAGGAACAATAGAGATAACATATTGCCGTAGTGAAGACCAGTTGGCGGATATTTTCACTAAACCTCTCAAGTTACTTTCTTTCCAAAATTTGAGAAGATTGTTGGGACTTTGCACCATGGAAGAACTCAAGAAATTGAAGCTCGAAAGCTTTCAGTTTAAGGGAGGGTGTTAGTAAATAAAACTCCTACTTTTTAGGTTTGTCCTAGTCCTTAGGAAGTAGTTTAACGTGGTTTTTGTTATCTAGTTTTTAGGAGAAAACTTTGTGGGGTAGTTCCTAATTTTTAAATTAAGTTTGCTATGTTTTTTTGTTATAAAAAGACTGCAGTTACAGCATTGTAGTCAATCAGTCAAGCAATTTCTTCTTCACGTCTATTGCCTCTTTCTCTGCTCTATTTTTCACTTATAAATCTACATCCTTCTCTGATCAGTTTTCTATCAGTTGTTGGCGAAGCAACAGCTTAAATTGCCAGCCTCAACTTTTCATCCACAAGAGGTCGTTGAATTTCCACGAAACAGTGGAAGAACAAGACTCATTACAGGGCATACAATTTAATATGGACATATAACTAGGTGGCTGAGATGTTAGATAGCTACGCGAGAAGGGATGTGAAAAGTGTCTTCTCCCTTATTAGTTGTTTCGAAAAGGAACACTGATCGTGGTCATATGTAGGTAGAAACATGTGCGTATAATAGAGTGATTTCACAATCATGCCAACCATACGAAAACCAATTATGTGCATGAATTTAATTTTTAACTGATGTGTAAGAGTTTTTTCCACTGTCAGATTATCGAATAGATAATACAAGTGACAGCCCGTATTAAGAGAGATTAATAATTTGAAAAATAAGGCAGATATCCTGTTACAACAGGTTAAAATTCATCGATAGTGCAAAAAGTCTTTATATCAGTGTAAAAGTTAAAACCATATGTAATGAGAGAGAGAGAGAGAGAGAGAGAGAGAGAGAACCTGCATTGCATATGATTGCAGCCTGCAATTCGTTCGACATACATATTACAGCTAGGACATTTAGTCCATTGCTTTTGCTCCACAAGTTCTTTGAACAAAGTGTCATTCACCTTTGAACATCCATTTTCTTCACAGACATTCCATGGAAGCCCACACTGAAAGCAAATCAATCTTCTGCAGTTAGGACACTCCGATTTTCCAACAACATCCCCACACTCTTTAACAATGAGTTCTCCACAATCTTGATAAGGGCAGTAACATTTCTCGAATCCTAAATGAGCCTGCTTGCAGAGAAGGTCACACCACTTCTCGAAAATCGATAAGGGAATCATCGTTCTACATACTAGAGGGTCCAAAAGTTTCCCACAATCTACATATGGGCACTGTATATCAGCAATCCTTAGTTGGATTTTCACTTCGACGTGCCTCTCTATGCATTTTGAGCAAAAAGAATGATTGCAACTATGAAAATTGTTGAATTTCTTGGTTATTGGAACAACTTCAGTGCATATTTCACATGTAAATGTTGGTAGTATTTGATCATTATGCTCTTCAACATTATCTCCCCAGTCTTCTCTCTTTCTCTTCATGCTTCCTTGAGTAATTTCCCTTTCCTGGCAAGAATCTATATCTAAAATATTATAAACAATCAAAAAACCTATATTTTAACTATTAGAAAGAAAAAGCACGAAGCACCAACACGAAATGTTGATCAACTCTTTTACCTTTTAAAAATATATTTCAAATTGGACAAATTGTCATTTAATTATTTTCCTAATATTTTTATGAAGAATTATTCTCCTAATATTTAGAAATTTGAAATCAACTAATATCTTGCTTCTTAAATCTTTCTTTATTTGAACTAGGAAACCCTAATATTTCGGGTTTTAAAATCAATTTGAGATTTTGCCATATTTAAACTACGTAATATAATTATAGTTCCTTCCAAAGATGCAGTAAGCCAAAACCAATAAGCCCCCACTTGCCGATAAATCACTTAGAAATTTTTGGGCGCAACGTTCTACTAATTGCTTCATTCAAACTGAAGCATACAATTCGCTATAGCAGTTAAGCAACAAATATAACTTCATGACAAGCAAATACTTGTACTAGAGAGACACAAGATACTGTTGCCCATTTAACTAAATAGGATAAATCTTAATCATTTAACTTACACCTTTTTTAAAATTTTTATTTTACTTATCTTTAATATTTAAGTGGTTTTTTAGATTTTTTGTACATGTATCCCACAACGTGCGTACTCAAAGACTAGTGTCTAAAATATATCCGCTAATTTTGATCTTTCCCTTTAAAATTGTACCAAATAGTTGTAATCAATGTGATTTGGAGAATGATAACTTGAGATTAACAAATTTTCTATCACCAGCTTTCTATATAGTCCTCTCACTACGCTTGACAAGGCTAATTTGAGCTATAGCCCACCATATTTGACTTGACTTTTCTATTTTTCTAACCATCCTCCACTTTACTTCTCGCCCTCTACCCCCATGACCTAAAAAGTTGACATACGCCAAAGAACAAACAAGAAGTCAAGGATCATAATTAATTAGATCCAATGATTTACACAATTTTGGTAGGATTTCTGCATGTATACGAACATGCTTTGGAAAGGATTGGATTGGATTGGTCAATCTTGAAGTTTTGCTGCTGCATTTGGGGTCCAAAAGGGTCATCCTGGAAACCGTCCATTGTATAATTTAGCTCGAAATCAAGGACATTCCCGAGATAATCCCATTTAGGATAAAAATCCTGAATTTGGTATATTTCAAAGCTTACATCTATTGAGGAAGCAAAAGAGAATGCTGCAGTTACTTATTCAAGCAACATGCCCTTAAGTTCTTGGAATAAAAACACGAATTCATAGGATAACTATTGATTCCTGTCCTTTTCTGTATGAATTAGTAATCGGAGCTATTGATGGATTATTCCTAAATTATCTATGAAAAGATCTTATCTATATTCTAATCCTTTTTAAAATTTGAACTTCAAACGGCTGATCATAGCATCAAGGTACAAGTTAATTGAAGTCCCAGTGAGGGAACAAAAGATTTAGGTATGCAATAGGAGTTGCTTTGTACTCTACTCATTCTTTCCTGCAGAAATGTTATTTGGAAAGTGATTGGATGTGTTTCCATAGTTTGAAGCTTAGTTTTCATACTTGAGATTGCAGAATGTTTTATTACTTCATATGTGTCAACTTGCAGGACAAGATTCAGGACAGATGGTGATCTTCAACATTTATGGATTGTTTGACTTATCTTACTTGCTTTGTTGTCCTCAGACAAATTAGAACTGATTAATATTTTTGCCTTTCAAACTTTGGTTCTTGTTTCCTATGTTTTCCTTTTATAAGGAAGTTTCTAAAGCTTCCCTTAATCTTTTTGAAGGTTGTTTACCTTGTATTCAAATTTATTTGGAATTTGATGTTATGAGTTCGTTAACCATATTAAGGTATTCGTGAAAACTAATTTATCAAATGCTTGCTTCGCTTAGAAAGTTTTTGGAGAACTTTACTCTTCTATAGACATATCACAAGGGTCATTGATAAGATGTAAAACTATTCTATATAAACATACTCTGACATTCACTATTTGGTAGATACTCAAATAGTATTTTGTCTGATAAAGTTAGCATACTGTGTAAATGAATAATATTACATTCTACATCAAACTGTTAGCACGGGCATCCAATTCTAGTACTAACAGATACGAGAATCATAAACCATTGCATTTCGAAAACTGATTCCCAAATGAGAACTTTGACTAAGTTTTTATTATTAGACAAACAGACAACAGTATATAGAGTCTTAAATGATCTGCTTTTCTTTTGTTCTTTTATAGTTTGGGATTTCTAATACAAAGAAAAAAGGATGGTCAGAAAGTAGATAAGCAACACTTCAAGGGGCTAGGACTCTGATCTAGAGCACAAATCAGTACTTACTAAGAGTAGTCACCTAAATATTACAGATAAGGGGCATGTTATTTGCTCAAACATTAATAGAACGGGAAAGGGTTAAGTTTGCCTGCGAACTATTCGATATTGTGCAATTTTACCCTCTGTTTCAATTTAGGACCAATCTTGCCCTTGCCGTTAGCCAAGAAATGCAAAATACCCTCCTCATTAACGGAACTCCAACTGGGATGAAAAAGGCTTAACATATTATATAATCTGCTGACTTGGCTGCTTATTTGGACATATCTCTCATTTGCATTAATATATCATTGACTCTTCCCCAAATTAGGATTCCCAATGGCAAACGACTAGTATATTGGTTCAAGCATCTAAATTTCCTGTACACTAAGTAGAAGCAGAGAGGAGCAAGCTTTTTCAACAGCAGAACTAAGTAATTAGGTTATAGAAAGTGTCTTGCTAATGTGAAATATAGCACATGAAGTTTCATTATTCACCTGGGCCAAGGGCATTCTGACCACTAGATGCAGCATTGATCGAATTGGTCATAGGATGTTGAGATTTTGTCTCCATAGTCAGCATCTTTAGAGATATTTTTCGTAGATAATCTGGCTGCAATATAAGATAAATTTGAGTTAAATTCAGAAATGCATACAAAATGTTAAAATGACTTGAAACGTAAATGCACATTAATACAAACAGGAATAATGTCAACCAGGTGGAAAGCAATTGCATTATTCAAACAAATAGAAGCAGGTTTACACTGCATACCTGACTTATAGCAGCAGTATAGATCTTTTCCTCAAACCTCAATGCAATTTTCTTGAGCTCCTGAACTCCTTCTTCTCCAGTGACAGGAAGATGCCTCTTTAAGGTCTCGGTTCTATACAGTCATATCAACAAAAAATCACCTTAACGGGTTGATAAGAGCAGAATCTAGAAAAAACATTTTTTAACGATAAAAATGTTTTGACATTACGCCCTGTGATGAAAAGCCTAAGACCTGTTTTCTTGTGACAATATTAGTCAGTATTATTATCCAATTAACTCGCGCTGCTACCTGTCATTTCGACATATCTAGAACAAAATGTAAGGCACAGAGAGTTAAAGTAGGCTTTCCACTCGGACTAGTTCCTTGAGTGATTACCAGAATTGGAAATATTTATGGCATCAACTTCCAATTAACCCACCCAATAATCGGATTACTCAATTCGCTTAGAGAAGTGTGTTTTCATTAATGGAAAGCCGAAAAACAGGTATCCATTAGACTTGTCAAACTTCTGCCTAAATGATTATTCTCAGAAGCTAAACACAAAGGAAACCTAAAGTTGAAATCCAAAATCCTTGACAAAAGAAAAAAAAAAAAAGAACAAGCTGCAAGAAAAGAAAAAGAAAATTACATCTTGTTGACAATCCTTTGACGAGAATCAGGTAGAAGTTGAGTCCGCCAATCAACGGCGTCCATATCTCCGGCTGCAGCTCCAGCTGGGGCGGTACCTTCACTCCCCAAAATATGCATTTCATTTCAAAGCTTCTTCGTTAGACAACTAAATCTGACACTTCTTTAAGCAGATAAAAGTTTTTCTTCCCCTCAGAACATAAAACAATCAGAAGAAAAAAAATTTAGATGATGTTCAAAGGCGATATCAATGATGAGACTTGAGAGGCAGAGGGCGGGGCTTGTAATGTCAAGGTAGGTATGGAAGTCGGAGGGTAACTGAGAATTTTCAGTGGTAAGAAAGGAACATTGCGAGAGAGGGGAGAGTGAACACTTTCCTGTACACTTTGTAGCCATAGAGAGCAAGCTTTTCCAACATCATAACTAAGTCATTAGGTTTATACAAAGCGTCCTGTCACACAAATGATTTGTCAATGTGAAATACAGCACATGAAATTTCATTGCTCACCTGGGTCATGAGCATTCTGACCACTACTTGCAGCATTGGCCGAATTGGTCATAGGATTTTGAGAGTCTGTCTCCATAGTCAGCATTTTTAGAGATATTTTTCGTAGATAATCTGGCTGCAATATAAGATGAATTTGAGTTAAATTCAGAAATGCATACAACATGTTAAAATGACTTGAAACGTAAATGCACATTAATACAAACAGGAATAATGTCAACCAGGTGGAAAACAATTGCATTATTCAAACAAATAGAAGCAGGTTTACACTGCATACCTGACTTATAGCAGCAGTATAGATTTTTTCCTCAAACCTCAATGCAATTTTCTTGAGCTCCTGAACTCCTTCTTCTCCAGTGACAGGAAGATGCCTCATTAAGGTCTCGGTTCTATACAGTCATATCAACAAAAAATCAGCTTAACGGGTTGATAAGAGCACAATCTAGATAAGACGTTTTTTAACGATGAAAATGTTTTGACATTACGCCCTGCGGTGAAAGCCTAAGACCTGTTTTCTCGTGACAATATTAGTTAGTATTATTATCCAATTAACTTGCGCTGCTATTTGTCATTTCGACATATGTAAGCCACAAAGAGTTAAAGTAGTTTTTCCACTCGGACTAGATCCTTGAGTGATTACCAGAATTGGAAATATCTAGGTCATCAACTTCCAATTAATCCACCCAAAAATAGGATTACTCAGTTCGCTTAGAGAAGTGTGATTTCATTAAAGGAAAGCCGAAAAACAGGTGTCCATTAAACTTGTCAAACTTCTGCCTAAATGGTTATTCTCAGAAGTTGATAAACACAAAGGAAACCTGAAGCCGAAATCCAAAATCCTTGACAAAAGAAAAAAAGTACAAGTTGCAGAAAAGAAAAAGAAAATTACATCTTGTTGACAATGCTTTGACGAAAATCAGGTAGAAGTTGAGTCCGCCAATCAGCGGCGTCCATAACTCCGGCTGCAGCTCCAGCTCGGGCGGTCCCTTCACTCCCAAAATATGCATTTCATTTCAAATGCCTCTTCGTTAGACAGCTAAATCTGACACTTCTTTAAGCAGATAAAAGTTTTTTTTCCCCTCGGAGCATAAAAACGATCAAGGTAGGTACAGAAATCGGACAGCAACTGAGAATTTTCAGTGGTGAGAAAGGAACATTGACGAGAGAGGGGAGATTGAACACTTTCCTCTACACTTTGTAGCCAAAGAGAGCAGGCTTTTCCAACATCATAACTAAGTAATCATGTCAGACAAATGATTTGTTAATGTGAAATACAGCACAGGAACTTTCATTCCTCACCTGGGTCATGGGCATTCTGACCACTACTTGCAGCATTGCTCAAATTGGTCATAGGATTATGAGATTTTGTCTCCATAGTCAGCATCTTTAGAGATATTTTTTGTAGATAATCTGGCTGCAACATTAGATAAATTAGAGTTAAAATTCAAAAATGCATACAACATGTCAATGACTTGAAACGGAGGCGGATCCAGAATTTGAAGTTTATGTGTTCCTACCGTAATTTCAAACTAATATACAATAATAACTAGGTTCACGATTAGATATTTATAAATAGTTAATGGATTTCGTAATAGAAATACAGCGTCTATGCAAACGTTACTGGTTCCCGGTATTGGGAACCCAGTAACAGCACTCTAGATCCGCCCCTGACTTGAAATGTAAATGCACATTAATACAAGCAAGAATAACATCAACCAGGTGGAAAACAATTGCACTATTCAAACAAATAGAAGCAAGTTTAGATTGCATACTTGACTTATAGCAGCGGTATAGATCTTTTCCTCAAACCCAACTGCAATTTTCTTGAGCTCCTGAACTCCTTCTTCCCTAGTGACAGAAAGCTGCCTCTTTAAGGTCTCGGTTCTACACAGCCATATCAGCAAGAATTCAGCTTAACAGGTTCATGAGAGCATAATCTATATAAATGCCTTTTAAAGATGAGATATAATTGAGATTACACCCTGCTTCGAAAGCCAAAAACCTGTTTTCCCTTAACAATATCAGTTTAACGGGGGCAGATGTAGTCATGTAGAGTGTAATATATAGGTTCGACTGAACCCAGTAGGTTTGACGCAAACTATACATGTGCTAGGAAATCCACAAATTTGAACAAAATTTCGAACCCAATTTTTAGCACTTGAAGTAGCAGTCTGTCCTAGAATTTTGAACCCATAAGTTCAAATAAAAAATCCACCTATATTCAGCTATCATCCAATTAATAAATTGATGCAACCTGTCATTTTTGACATATCTTTTTAGATAAGGAATTGTTGACATATCTAAGGCAAAATATAAGCCACTATATAGTTAAACCGAAGGGTGCGGCTTAGTGATCAATGAAGTAGAAGGAGCACCATGAGTTTTCAGGTTGAAATCCCAGCGGAAGTTAAAAGACAATAGGTCATTTATTCTCATCTCCGTAAGCCTTGGTACTTGTGCCATTGGGAGGTAGTAGCTATCCGAGGTAATAGTCTAAGCTGGCTCATACACCACCGTAAGAAAAAAAGTAGGTTTTTCACTTGAACTAATTCCTTGAATGATTACCAACAACAACAACAAACCCAATTGATTCCAACAAATGGGGTCTGATGAGGATAGGGTGTACGCATACCTCACCCCTACCCTGGGAGGAAGGAGAGGCTATTTCAGTTGGACCCTTGGCTAAAGAAAGAAGCAGCGGCATTGAGTGATCACCAATACTGGAAAATTCTATGGCATACATTTCCAATTCACCTGGACAAGTGAGTTTTCACAAAATGGAAAGCAGAACAAAAACAAGTCCCCAAGTTGACTTGTCAAAACTTCTGCCTAAACAATCATTTTCAGAAACAGATAAACACAAAGGAACACTATAAGTCGGAATCCAAAATCATTGATAAAAAGAAAAACAAGGAAAAATAGAAAAGGAAAGGGAAATTACATGTTGTTGACAATCCTTTGGCGAGAATCGGGTAGAAGTTGAGTGCGCCAATCAGCAGAGTCCATAGCTCAATTCTGATCTAAGCGATTATTTCTTCCAATCGAAAATCAGTTTTACTGCTTATGATCAAAGAAAAAGAACAAAACGATGTCGCGAGATATTCCGGGAGAAAATAGAATCAGAGATAGATTCCAACGTTTCCTCAGGAAAATAGGAACCAATTGCGTAAGTGCATTATTTTACTACTAAGAGGCCGTTTGGATCGGCTTAAAAAGGTGATTTTTTTAGAAAAAGCCAAAAACAATAAGTCGGGTTCCCTTATGATTTTAGCTTGTTGTAAGTATTTTTTAGCTTATTTTAAATAATTTATAGCTTTGCCAAACATTGAAAAAGCTAAAAAGAACATAAAAACTGATTTGACCAACTTAAAACTGATTTGACAGACTTAAAAGCCAATCCAAATACCCTCTGAATCTATCCCGATTTATATGATTTTTTTTTGTTTTTAAAGTCAAACTTTTTAATTTTTATCATATATTTGAACATAGAATTTTAAACTTTTTTCGAAATAGAATTTATATATTTGAAAACTTAGTAATAGTTAATAATTCAAAATATTTAAAAGGCACATGAAAAAATTACGGTAGAAAAATACGTATTTGACTCTCTGAATTCAAGTACTATCACATAAATTGGAACGGAGAGAGTTTAATTAAAAAGTAAATATATGTGTAGAATGGGTCAAAACTTATGATTAAGGAAAACCTTTATCCATCATATCACGACTTTTAAAAGTTTATTCAATTTATGTGAATTGAAAGTATTTGAAGTACAAGGATTAGAATAACTCTTAATTTTTTTATGCGAATACATGCATAAAAAAATCCATGTGTTTGGTATTGCAACTTATACATAAAATTCCATGTATTGATATGTGTTGGGGTTTTTAAGCATTAATGAGGCTTAAAAGAGGGTGAATGGGAAATGTAGAAAAATGAAAATTTTTAAATGAAATTTTAAGTTTTCCCCCTTAGCAAAGGGACATTGTCCCATATTGAAAGAGGAAGAGGTTTTTTATGGGTATATAAGCAATTGCTCTTCTTCTAGCTCTTAAAGAGTTGAGAAGAAGGCAAGCCTTGCGTCGTCGTCGTCGCTCGGCTCGGCTTCGGATTTGGTCAATTGATTGATTAATTTTTTGGACCAAATTTATTTGTTAATAGTAAAATATTAACAGAAATGTTATTAAATATTTATTTTAATAACATAATATTAATATTAAAATAAATATTAATATTAAATCCAATCCGTTTTTCTGTTTTGGTAACAGAAAATTAACTATCCTCTTCAATTTTCCCTCTTTATTTTCCCTTTTTATTGTTGAGTAAATAGCCATTTATGTTATGGCATTTATGTTGTGGCCGTTTTGCATAAACAACCATTCTGAAGAGTTGCACCTCTTCAGATTTCAGCCCAACTTTGGCTATAAATACAAGACTATTCTGTTCAGAATTTCCATACGATTTTCTGAGTTTCTCCTCCTTCTTCTGCATAGTTTAAACATCAAACAAAGCAACAGTAAGTGTGATTTGCTACACAACTTTGTGTTGTTGAAACACTGGGGTTTGAAGTACCCTACACCAGTGTGTAATTCGTTCTATCCTGGGATGAAATAATTCATAACCTTGGGTACTAGGAGGGGATTAAATTCCTTAAGGAAACACTATGAATTCAGTGGGCTCGAATTGATTTTTTGTTATTTCGTTTACATTTCTGTTTATGTTCATTTATATTTTCCAGAATTATTTTACAAGTACAGTTTACTAAAAAGCTTAAGGAATTTAATATATTTTTTATTTTTGTACTCATTGTTTCTGGAGAGTAAAACCTTTGTGGTTTTGTACTCTATTAAACTCTACGTGATTTTAACGGTTGTGTCATTCTTTTATAGAAATGACTAATGATAATGTGAACCAAGTTGTTCCAATGGTGACTGTCAATGCCTCAACGAGCCAAACAACACCGGCAGCATTGGCACTAGCGGAGAAACCCGAAAAAAATTTCGGGATTGATTTCAAGCGCTGGCGGCAAAAAATGTTCTTCTACTTGACTACTCTAAGTCTCCAGAAGTTCACCAAGGAAGATGTTCATGTGTTGTCCGATGAAACTACAGAAACTGAACGCTTTCTCGTGATTGAGGCGTGGAAGCATTCAGATTTTTTGTGCAAGAATTATATTCTAAGCGGGCTGGAGAATGCTTTGTATAATGTCTACAGTGGCGTGGAAACGTCAAAGGAACTGTGGACTGCGCTTGAAAAGAAATACAAAACTGAACATGCCGGTTTGAAAAAGTTCGTTGCTGCAAAGTTTTTGGACTACAAAATGGTAGATAGCAAGTCTGTTATTACCCAAGTTCAGGAATTGCAAGTGATTATTCACGATCTCCTTGCTGAAGGTATAAATCAAATTAATACTCATGTTGAAAGTAGTAATCTCAGTATTTTTACTATCAGAAATTTCATTAAAGGTTTTGTCATCAATAAAGCATTCCAAGTAGCAGCGACGATTGAGAAGTTGCCTCCTTTGTGGAAGGACTTCAAAAACTACCTGAAACACAAACGCAAGGAGATGTCCCTTGAAAATCTCATTGTTCGGTTGAGAATCGAAGAGGACAACAAAGATGCAGAAAAGAGAGACCGTGGAAACTCAACAATAATGGGAGCAAATATTGTTGAAGAGAACAAAAAGAGAAAGAAGGCTTCTGGACCGAAATACAACCCAAGCAAGAAGCGGTTCAGTGAAAATTGCTACAATTGTGGAAAAGCCGGATACAAATCTACGGAGTGTCGTGCTCCGAAGAAAGACAAGAAGAAGAGTCAAGCAAACATGGTTGAAAAGCATGATGATGTTGATGACTTGTGTGTCATGCTTTCCGAGTGCAACTTGGTGGGCAATCCTAAAGAGTGGTGGATTGATTCTGGAGTCACTCGTCATGTTTGTGCTGTTAGAGAAGCTTTTGCTATTTATGCTCCTATTGGACCCGATGAGACGATTTTTATGGGAAATGGTGCAAAGGCCAAGATTAAAGGATGTGGGAAGATATTTCTCAAAATGACTTCCGGCAAAGTGGTGACTTTGAACAACGTCTTTCATGTTCCCGAGATTCGAAAGAATTTAGTCTCTATTGGACTTCTTGTTAAGAATGGTTTTAAATGTGTATTTGTATCCGATAAGGTTGTAATAAGTAAGAACGAGATGTTTGTAGGAAAAGGTTACTTCATGATGACTATAAAATATTCATATATTATATACTTAAAAATAAATTATTTTAAATAATATAT